TCTATCTATCTATCTATCTATCTATCTATCTATCTATCTATCTATCTATCTATCTATCTATCTATCTATCTATCTATCTCTATCTATCATCTATCTATCTATCTATTTATCTGGGTGAAATGAGGACCCAGACTGTGGGGGCAATATGCTGACTCTGTAAACCGCTTAGAGAGGGCTGAAAGCCCTATGAAGCGGTATATAAGTCTGCTATTGCTATCTATCTATCTATCTATCTATCTATCTATCTATCTTTCTATCTATCTATCTATCTATCTATCTATCTATCTATCTCTATCTATCATCTATCTATCTATCTATTTATCTGGGTGAAATGAGGACCCAGACTGTGGGGGCAATATGCTGACTCTGTAAACCGCTTAGAGAGGGCTGAAAGCCCTATGAAGCGGTATATAAGTCTAACTGCTAACTGCTATTGCTATTTAGTGATCATTCAAAATTACAAGGGAAGGAAAAAGGGAGGGAGGGGAGGAGGAGCGAGAGGGAAGGGAGGAAGGGAACAGGGAGGGAAGGAGGAGACAGGTAGCAGGAAGGGAAGGGTCACCACTTTCCACACAACTGTTGAGGCTTTCCCATGGTCACCTGATCCAAATGCAGACGCTGGGCAACGGACTCATACTTACGACAGTTGCAGTGTCCCCGGGCTCACGAATCCCCTTCTGCGAACTTCTGACAAGCCAAGTCAGTGTGGGAAGCCAGATTCGCTTTAACAACCGTGTGACCAACTCAACAACTGCAGTGATTCACTTAAGAACCGCAGCGAGAAAAATCGTAAAACGGTGTGATACTCAACTGCAGAAATTTGGGGCGCTCTTGTGCCCCTGCAGTCCTCGACTGATGACCTCAGTTGAGCCCCAGGTTTCTGTTGATAAGCAAGCTAGTTGAGTTTTGCTCCATTTTACGACCTTTCCTGCCACAGTTGTTAAGCGAATCACTGCATCTAGGGGCACACCTGTCGAGTGAATGTGGGTTACCCATTGACTTGGCTTGTCAGGTGCTCAGGCAAAGGGGGGGGGGTCACGTGACCCCGGGACCCTGCAGCCGTCATAACAGCAAGTCATTTTCCAAGGGTCTGAATTTCGATTGAGATGCTGCAATAGTCATCGGTGTGAAAAATGTTCATTAAGCCACTGCTGTTAACTGACCGGTCGCTAAATAAATGGTTATAATTTGAGGACTGCCTCTGTTTCATGAGGCTTGTCACACAGGAAGCAGCCTGGGGGGTCAAGGCTGGCCGGTCCTGCAGCCAAACGAACCCAGCGCCCAACCTCCCACCTTAGAAAAAGCTGGCCTTGAAAAAAGATGCTGGGAATCGTAACTCTGGAGGCCAAGAATTCAAAGTATTGCACTCTGCAGGGCGGATAATCCTTAAGGGTGGCCTTACAAGGGAGCTGCCTTCCACACAGCCTCTGGCCTCACTTAAGGGGTGTGTGTGTGCGTGTGTGTGTCCCAGATGTGCACAACCGGAATCTGCGGATGCAGAGCTGACTGGATTCAGCTCGTCTTGGTCAGATGTAAAATCTTTTCCATTTAGGAGAAAATTAGGGGACTGGAGCCTAAAACATATGAAGAACGGTTGCAGGAACTGGGTATGTCTAGTTTAATGAAAAGAAGGACCAGGG